AAAAAAAAAAAAAAAAAAAAAACGAGTCACCTCTTCAAATGACGAGTGATGAGTAAACTCGATGAGATTATGTAACATTTGACGAGGGCATTTGTAATTTAGAAAAAAAAAAAGTAACCGGGATGTTTTTTTTTCTACGATTTGGCAAAACCTTAGTGATTGCTAACAAGTGGATGAACATAGTTATTTTTACCTGCGTCTCGATCATCGAATGTATGATGGATTGAGGATGAATAACAATCTCGATATTATCATATTCGGCTCCAAAAAGGTAGTGAGCTTCTATAACTTCTAAACCCTATCAAGACCAAATGAATTATCTTTGCATGATAAATACATAAATAAATAAAAATTAAAACAAACGAAAACAATTTTTTTTTTTTTTTTTTTTGTTCATGCGAAATGAACATAATAATAATCTCAAGTTACCTTGTTAAAGAGTGTGGCAGAGTCGACGGTAATCTTCTTCCCCATATTCCAATTCGGATGCTTCAAAGCATCCGCTACTTTCACGTCTTTCAATTTATCAACTGGCAAATCCCTTCATTACCGTATTTACATTGATTTAGCAAAACTCGATCACGAATGAGTACGGGGTGCCTGCTGTGTATTTTTACACTGCACCTGCGGTGCACCCCTCTCCACCCTTGGATCATGTTAAGTGGATCATGTTACTTAACATGATCCAAGGGTGGAGAGGGGTGCACCGCAGGTGCAGTCACAGCAGGCACCCCCCCATCAATCACGAATACTATACCAGAAATAAATACTAAAGAGTGTAATTACATATATAAACACTAAAAAATTATAATATTTTCACTAGTTGTGGTGCAATCCTATATGAAAATTGCCAACTATCCATTCTAACACGAATCTATGTAAATCCCACACTAATTAATAATTATGTAAATCTTTATTTAAAAATTTCTTGAGAAAATTGCCTTCACCTGAAAGCACCCCCTGATGCCGTCAAAATTATTCGCCTCAGAGCACCTTCTGGCAAGCCTTGTATACACTGAAAAACATACAAAAAATTACACGAAGAAAATTTTCACATGTCAATAGGATAATTTGCTAACCATATTATAAGAAAATGGTACAATTGCACTATATTAGAACTTAGTCATACTTGAAATATAGCCGAGTGTTCAGAGTCTGCAGGAAGAATCTTGACATTATGCTTGTGTGCAAGAGGAAGAACAAAAGGCCCTCCAGCAATTAGTGTCTCTTTATTGGCCAAAGCTATGTCTTTTCCAGCTGTTATGGCAGCCACCGTAGGCTAAATTTATCAAATTTCTGATATTTTAGATTCTAAACAGATTTATACTTGCGACAAGATGTTACGTGCACTTGATAACTGAAAGTAGTTCCTAACACAAGTACATTTTTCCACACTATAATATATAGATCTTGCATTAACTGGCACTCAATGAGGAAGAATTTGTTAAAATTGTCGAATAATGAGGAAAAAAAATGTGAAATTTACCTTCAGGCCCGCACAGCCAACAATCCCAGTTACCACAGTAACAGCATCCGGATGCCGAGCGACCTGGAATAAGAGATTCATTAGTATGGATATTTCGAAGATTTATACAAAAATTAAGAACTGAAATAAATAAATAAATTTAAGCTGTTATGAAACATAACCTCAAGGATTCCCTGCTCTCCAGGAATGATCTCGGGCTTGTCGATGACATCAGCCAGAGCTTCCTTGAGCTCATCAACTAACGAATCGTCTCGAACAGAAACTAATTTAGGTCTAAACGTCTTAACCTGCATTCGATGTTAAAATCTATTGACTCTTTAGAGAAAGTGCTTTATTTTAGAGAAAGCTAAAAGTAGCTGAGAATCAGAGAAGTTGATGGGATTTGTAAATAGAATCCAAAAATTAAGTATGTTAAAAGTTGAGTGATTGCATCTAAAATTCAAACAAGAATCAAAATCAGGAATTAAGAGAATCTCTCTCTTTGCCTTTTAGATTCCGATTGAATAGCGCAAAGGATTAAATATTTCTTTATTCTTTTCTCATTCAACCAAATGCTGATAATCACTACTTTTCTTAACGGTTGAGCAATTTCTTTAACGCGGTCTCACGACATTAGACGGTTAATGAGAACTATGCATATCCTAAACTAATAAATCTTCTTTTTTTTTCAGTTATCAATTAATCAATCACCTGATCGGCAAGAAGGGTCACATTGGAACCAGCAGCAAGCGCAACAACCTTAAACTTATCTGGATTTTCGGCAACTATATCCAATGTCTGCAAAAACATGCATTAATCTATAAACAATCAAAGTGAACAATAACATTTTAGCTGCCTCATTGCTTATCCCCTGTCCTAAATCGAGAACGAGGAAATAAATAAATAAATAAATAAAATGTATTTGTCAGCTGCCTCATTGCAGAAAGTTGACTTTAGGACACGCATCAAAGAGTTCAAAATATATTCAGCCATTATCAGGCACAACCGACTCAAAGAACTCCTGTTAATATATTTACTTACATTCAAATTTTCAACACATCACAACTTGTATATATCACAACCTGTGTTCCAATGGAGCCAGTGGATCCAACAATAGAAATGGGCTTCGGGCCCTCCCAAGATTTTCTTTCGGGCTCGATGACGGCCCGGCCGGGCCAAGCCGGAGGAGGTGTCTGTGCCGAACAATGGACTCTTTTTGCAGAAGTGCACCCATTTTCCTTTCTTTTGGAAGAAAGCCCAACTGAAGAAAATCCATTATATTCTCAAAAATAAACCTTTGTACAATTCAATCCGTAAAATCCCAAAGGCAATGAACATTAAACACACAGACTGGGGTTGATAATCGAACATAGGCAAGGATTACCAGTTAAAAGTTAAAACAACAGACACAATCAAAATTTCAACTTGCATTGTCCTAAAGGATGAATTTTTATCACTCTTTACAGCAAGAAGAATAAAAACAAAACCCCAAAAAAAAAAGATCACTTTTTTAGCAACACGTCTTATCCAAACACAACTTATCATCAACTCAACTCATACCCCACATCAAAAAGCACAAAATATTAACCATTTTAGAAAAGCCCAAATCCTTAAACCCTACAAAATGTTACCTTGGGACTTGAGGAGATTAAGGCTGCAATTCGATTTGGAGGAGTCCCAGAAAGAAAGTGTCTTGATTTCAATTGGAGACAGCAAATTCAGGGCCATGGCTTATCAAGAACACACACAAACACACACACACACACACACAAACACACACACACACAGAGCTGCGTGAAAAGCTGAGAAAATCGAACTCTGATTAATTTCAAGAATGGAAAAAAGGTAAGAACAGTTGATAGAGTCTGGGCTTTGGAAAGAGCCTATGAAAAGGAGCAAAATTTTTTGATGTACAGAGAGAGACACATTAGGTGTCAGTCTGAGTCTTTAAAAAGGAGCTCTGAGGTGTCAAGATTATTATATAAAAGTTGATGATAAGGACAATAATTATTTTTCAATGAAATTGTATTATGCTATTATGTTTTTGTAGCCAAAATCACTGAGAATGATTTTTTAATTTGAACATGTTTGGTAATTAGCCCATAGAATATAGTAAATAGTTGATACATTTAAATGATAATGGTTAGCTCATTGAATTATCTAATCGAAAAATAATTATTTTTTTAATATTTAATAATAATAATTTAAATTTCAATTATATATTGAATTTTTTTTTTTTTTTTTT